CCCCCCCCCAAAAAAACACACACACACACACACACACATATCCACCGCACCTGTACAGCCTGGGGCGCCCGTCTATGCCGTCGTTCATAAGCCGTTTGCGGACGGTGTCGAAGGGGAAAACAATTGCCTGCGCCGCCATATTGGCAGCGCTGCCTGCGAGCAGCAGAAGACAAGGGAAATCTATCTGCTCCTTCAGCCTCCCCTGTGCTTAATCTGCTGCGTATGAGCCTCCACCGCCAGGTGGTGACGCAATCGCTGCTCCTGCTATTGCATTTTCATGCGCAAAAGAGATGAAACGGCTCTTAAGCCACGGGATACCAACGATACACCTGGACAACTAACCATACACCCACATCGTCACAGAAGCCTGCGTGCAATTTGCTGCTGCCTTGACAGACAACTGCTCACGTGAATTCCACTACAGAACACAGCGCACTCTCCGCTGCTGCTGCTGCTTTGGTTCAAATCCCACCTGAAACGCCTGCGGTGAGCAACACAAGGGGCCAAGATCCGCCAGCGCTTCGCCGTTGCGCTGCATCACCCAAAGTCCTGCAGCGGCACACGGCAGCGCAACAGCAGTATACATGAATGTTCCCCCACTAGCAGCAGCTGCTGCTGCACTTGCGTAGGCGCTGCCAGGTTAGCTAGCGATTTCATGACCTGCTCCCTAGAATGCCAGCAGCGAACGAACGTAGGACCGCTCACATGGGTGTACGTAGCGAATTACCCCGTGCACACACCTAGCTAGCTAGCCTCTGTTTAGACTGCCTGCTGGTGCATTATGCGTCATCAGCTGCGTGTCACGTCGCTGGCTCGCAACATCTTCAGGTGCGCACGCACCTTTGAGATAAGTCGAAGAAGGACATCTGCAGCATGACGTACGGAACTCCCGACAGAAGGGTCACAGAAAAGCCTTTGAAGAATCCTGACGGGCCCTCTAGCTGCCACACGCGGCGAGCACAGTCCACTACTCCATTGTAACCCTTTCTGCTGCTGCTGTTGATGTTGCTGTTGTCTTTGTTGGTCTTCCAGCTCTTAGTGCTGCTGCTCATTGTGAGGCCGCTCACGCTGCGGTTGTTGTTGGGATAGGGACCATTGGTGGCACTGCCGCTGCTGCTGCTGTTTGGTGGAGGTGCAGCAGCTGCTGCTACTGCTGCTACTGTTTCGTGATGTTTCCCAAGTTGATCTGCGTTGATGCCAACTGCAATTCTGACGGAAAGTAAATCCAACGGATAAGATAGGGTCTTCTGCAGCGAGCCAGCGAGGGCCCCTGAAAGCAACAGAGAGCCCATGCTCGGACGGCTGCTGCCGTTGCTGTTGTTGTTGTTGCTGTTGTTGTTGTTGTTGATGCTACTGCTGGAGAGGGCTCGCTTCGCGAGATCGTTTGCAGGGAACTTGATGGCGTAGCAAGCAGCAGCTCGGACTGCGTTGACTCCGTTGCCCCTCCAGAGACCCTTAAGCCCTTCTTCTTCCACGACAAGCCGAAGACCCGATAGGATGCCTCTGTATTTTGTGTATCTGATGGTGTCTTTTCCACCCCCTTTGTAGGTGAAACCACATCTGTCTTTTCCAGATACAACCGCTTCATTCAAGTTTCTGTTCAGCTGAACACCAGGGGATACTCCGCAAGAACAGCTGCTCTGTTGCAGTGCTATACGAGACGGCGAATGCTGCTGTTGCTGCTGCTGGGCGCTGTGCTGCAGCATGCCCTGTACCTGGTACAGCAGCCTCAAACGGTCCATGGGGGCGCAGACTGTCTTTGTAACCAGCCCGCTCACAGCAGCGCTGATAAATAGCTCAAAGGAACTGGGAAGCCTCCGGGAGATTGTACTGTGTACGGACACCTGCTGCAACTCCTGCTTCTGCGGAGGCGGCCGCACCTCCTCTAGCTGCTGCGCTATTGTCGGCATCCCGGAGACAGATCTTCAGCTAGACGGACATACTTAGGACAACGGTGACAGTTCGGAGCTGCTGCCTGTTGCTGCTGCTTCTGTGGCCGTTGCTGCTGTTGTCTCTGTCCCTGCATATGCGGCGATGGAACTCCCCTTCAGGCACCCGCATGGTAGGTGTCCTGTAAGACTTGAATGACAATAAAGGGCCGACGAAAATAGGAGCACCAGTTGGAACCAAAGGGCAATCATACATAGAGTTCAAGAGTAAGTCTTGCAGTGAGTGTATAAGGCCTCAAAAGCAACAACGACGGCCTCCTGGGGCCTTGAGGGGCTTTGAGGCGTGTATACAGAAGCAAGCTGCAAGAGCAGGCGAAACTGCCTTTTACTAGACAACATTAAAAAACTTCATTCCAATTTTTTGTCTGTTCAGCGATGCGGTACATGCATTTGCTTCAGCGTGCGCTCAGGGGGCCCTGCAGACCCTCGGGGGGCCCTGCGCTGGGCAGCAAGTTGCTGTTGCTGCTGCTGTTGCTGTTGCTACTGCTGATGCTGCCTTGGCAGCTGCAGCATCTGTAATTGTCTGGGTGCGGCGTGAGTTGCACAGCAACTATAATAATAGTGAGTCTATTAATTGTGTCCAATTAGACCAATTTTATTTTAGTGTGTAAGCAACAATTGACGAGCAGACCGGAAGCGACCCCACAGAGTGTATCGGCAACAGGCCCCCTAGCCTGGGTGCACTGCTGAGCCGAGCAGCGAGGGGGTATCTCCTTGACGTTTGCACTTTTGCGTATTTCTTTGCCTTTCCAACTGCCAAATCCACTACGAAAGGAGTAAATCTTGTGTGTTTTTTGATCGCTTGCTGCTTTAACGCGTTGTAGGCAGTGCCGCCCACAGCTGCTGCAGTGCCGCGGCCACCGCAGCAGCCACGCAACGGGCGGCGCAGCAGCAGCAGCAGCAACAGCTGCTGCTGGGCAGCGTGCAGCAGCACACCAGGAGTTTTTGTTGGGTTTTTTGCCTTCCTCTAGTCCTGAAAACAGTGGTCAGCCTGCTCTCTGGATGCTCCCTTTTCCTCTGCTGCTGCAGCAGGATACTTGCTGCTGCTGCTGCTGCGCTGCGCCTGTGCTGCTAGAGTTGTTGCAGGCAGCACAAGCAGCAGGAGCAGCAGTCCGTTCCACTCAGGTGCTAAAACACATCATTTCTAATTGATGAAAGGGTCAAATTGTCTTATTTATCTCGTGTGTCTGTGCCTCCACACCCCGCAGTAGCCTGCTGCTGCTGCTGCTCGACCCGGGCGTCGTGCTGCTGCTGCTGTTGCTGCGGCAGCGCTAGCCCCCATTTCTCTCCTCCTCGCCGCCCCTTGTCGTGTATAGATCCCGTCGTGTGTTAGACTTGTCTACATCATTGGTGGCTTGGATTTAGACCCCGCTGCTGGGGTGTGTGCGCCGCTGCTGCTGGTGCTCTTCTTGAGGGGGCGCCGCAGCCGACAGGGGCAGTCGAAGGAAGTACACGGTGCCAGAAGCAGCAGCAGCTGCTGCTGCTGCAATCGCAAGCATTCAGATCCTGCTGTTTGTCACCTTTAATGAAGCGCACAGCCACACCGGCTGTAGCCGCTTCTTGTGGGCCCCTCACATGCTGCACACCTCTGCAGACAAGACAACGGAAGTAAAAACCCTCAAGTTCTGGGCTTTCTCTCCTTCAACTCCCCATTTGATGACACGGTAGACACTCGGCTGCTGCTGCTTGCGGCTCTACGGCGGCCTCTTGCCACCTGGCCCGTCCTGTCCCAGCAGCAGCAGCAGCAGCAGCAGCAGCAGCAGCAGCAGCACTGCAGCAGTCCTCGTCCTCTGGCGGGTTGTTGTGGCTGTGCTGCTCTGTGGGGTGCAAATACTGCAGCGGCAGTGTAGGGTGTGCATACAGCACAACTCAGCATGCTCCCACAGCTGCCGCAATCGCCCCCGTGCCTCCCTTCAGGCGTGATGGACCCCTGTCAAGCGGGAGGTTGCTGCGGCTGCACCAGCAGCAACAGCAGCTGCTGCGAGGAGTCGGGAACGGAGCCCTTCCTGCAGCAGTCCTGCTGCGTAGCTGCAGCAGGGGAGCTTGCCTGCAGCCGGTGTGCTGCGTACGCTCAACTGCTGCGGCTGCGGTGTGACTCATCCCCTTCATTTTTCGCCCCTCCCCCTGCTGCTGCTGCTGCATTCTCTTCCGCTGCTCTCCCAAAGTCGGAAGAGCTGGAAACCGCTGCAGCAACAGCAGCTGCAGCAGCAGCTCACGGTTCCCCAGCAGAGCTGCAGCGCTGCGCTGCTGCACCGGCAGAGTCCCCTTCGGCATGCTGCTGCTGCTGCTTCTACTACGGCGTCAGCAGCAGTTGCGGCAACACCAGCTGCGGCAACACCAGTTGCGGCAACACCAGTTGCGGCAACACCAGTTGCGGCAACACCAGTTGCGGCAACAATAGTTGCGGCAACAATAGTTGCGGCAACAATAGTTGCGGCAACAATAGTTGCGGCAACAACAGTTGCGGCAACAACAGTTGCGGCAACAACAGATGCGGCGGCAGCAATTGCGGCGGCGGCAGCAGTTGCAGCAGCAGCAGTTGTGGCGGCAGCAGCAGCGGCAGCAGCAGCATCAACTGCGAAGGGTGGGGTCCTCTGCCCGGGGGTGCCAGCGAGGAGATGCAATGCTTGTTTAGTAGTGCATGCATGCCCTGTCTGGCGCTTCAGGAGGCGGCCGTTCCCTTAGCAGCAGAAGATAACAACGGACGCTCGCAGCTGTGGGGCCCGTCGGAGGATAGTTGGGTGCCTCGCGACTGCTGGGGACCCCCCGCGAGGTGCACCGGCACGGGGGGACCCCCTGGACACGACAGGCGGCCTGCTGCAGCAGGCGTGGGGACCCTGCTGCTGCAGCTGCCAAGCAGCCTCATCTGCGATGCTGCGAGACTGACGAGCGCCCGCAGTCCCCTCAACTTCAGCGAAGGCACCTTACGGGCCCTCCCGTCATGTAGTGCAGCAGAGGTAGAAGCCGCCACACCACCAGCTGCACAAGACTGCTGCCAGCAACGCTGCAGCGGCGCGTACAGCTGCCGGAGCAGCACCAGCACCTGCTGCTGTGCATTCGAAGCAGAAGTACTGAGACAGCACAGAATGGAGGCAGCAGATGATCTGCTACGACTGGACGAAGACCTACTACTCCACGGTGAACAAACTGCTGCAATTCCAACTGGCGCTAGTGCTGCTCCTTCAGCAGCAACTGCTGCTGCTGCCTCGCCAGCCGCTCCCACTTTGTGTCGCGACGTCCAGCAGCAGCGGCACGAGCCGCAGCAGCGGCAACGGCAGCAGCAGCCGCTCGACCTGCAACGCTTCGAACAACTCTCCCCCTTGCCGATGTCCTCCTGCGCAAGTGGATGCTCCTCTCCTATGCAGCCGACGCACATCGATCAGCATACACCTTCCAACCAGCAGCAGCAACAGCTGACGGTCCTTGAGGGCCAGGGCACCACACAGTCTTTGTCACTGGAGAGCCAACAGGCAGAAGCAGCGGCTCTCATCATGACGGAGAAGAGGACCCGCTCAAGGCGACGCCGCTTCCTAGAACCCCTTGCGGCCCCAAGACAACAGCATCACCACCACCAGCAGCACCAACAGCAGCAGCACCAACAGCCACAGCGTCAACAGCAGCAGCACCAGCATCAGCAGAACCAGCATCAGCACCAAGAACAGCAGGAGGAGCAGCAGCAACAGCAGCAACGGCAGGAACAGTTAACTCCCGGGGGTTGTTGTGGCGGCCAGACCTGTATTTGCTCGCGACAACAGCAGCAACAAACTGCAGGCAGCTTCTATGTGGCAGAGGCGGACGCGGCAGCTGGGCAGAACTGCTACGGGGGCTCACATGCAGAGCAGCAGCAAAAAGAGCAGCAGGAATCGATGCTGCTCCACTTGGACAAACGGAAGGTACTGACAAACACCCCTTCCGCGGAGGCGAACTGCGATGACTGGCAGGCTAGCCGCGGTGACCAGTGGTCTTGTGATGGGCGGGGGGGCCAATCACTGATGCTGGCCTCAGAGGAGCAGCAACGGCAGCGGCAACAGCAGCTCTCTCCAGCCTCATACTATGACTTTTCGTGTTCACCCTCCACAGCAGCTACTAACTCACAGCAGCAGCAACAACAACAACAACAACAACAACAACAGCAACAGCAACAGCAACAGCTGCATCACGGCGAGTCGCCCACATTAACTTGCAGCGCGTGTGGCAATGCACCCACTTGCTGCTGCTGCGGCTCATTGGTACTTGATCAACAGCAACAGCAGCAGCAGCAAAGAGTGGGTATACACACTTTAGTGGATGGCACGATGGCGGGGCAGCTCTCCCATGTGCCGCCAGAGTCGGGAGTGGGCAATGAGCCAGCATCAAGCAACAGCAGCAGCAGAAGCAACGCAGCGCAGAAATTGGGCCAAGACTCGTCTCCACCGTCTGGATCGCGTTCGCCCAAAGTAGAAGAAACAGCAGCTGCTGCAGCTGCTGCAGCAGCTGCAGCAGCGGCTGCAAATGTGGGGACCCCGTTTGCATGCGGAGGGGAACTGCCTGTTTGTTTGCCTCAAAGCGAAGACAGCAGCCCATGCCCATCTCTGCTCCGGCTCACAGAGGCACAATGGCAGCAATTCAGGGCCCAGGGACTCTTCAAGCTTGGGGATAAGGGGCGGGCCATAATTAAAAGCAGAATTTCCAGGTGGGGAAGACTTTACAGTTTCAGAGGGCAATTGTTTATGGTGGGGGGGAGGGTTTAGGGTGTGTAAGGGGCACACCCTGAAGGGAGGGGGCTCTATTGGGTCTAGGATATGTTTGAGATGAGGGCGTAGGCTTTAGGCTTTAGGACATTGCATGTCGGCACGCATAGAGGATTCATCCCCCATCTGGCAGCTAGCGAAGCACCGTGGAACATCTAGAAGAGTGATGGCGTTGTTGCTACGTGGGGCTCTCTGTGGTGTACAGGCAGCTCCGCGTCTTCCCTCATCTTCGCAAGAGGGCTTCGGCAGTGGCTGGGGTCCGATGCGCCACTACTAAGCAGCTCTTCCAGCTGGCGCAGGTGGGTTTTGGGTTTAGGATTTAGGGGTTAGGATTTAGGGTTTAGGCTAGTTTGTGTCGCTTAGCTTCGAAGGGTTCAGAAGCACAAGCATCAGAAAAACGTCTGATCAAACATAACCCTATTCCGTTACATTGGTGGCCTGGAAACTGCATGCACCGAGCAGCCTGGAGGAATAAGCGTGCAGCGGTAAAAGCTAGGAATGTGCTTTTTCTGGTGCAGATATGTGGGTTGTATGACGTGCTGCCTCCCCAATTCCAGCCAGTCTCCTTCAGGGGCTCGCAGCAGGGGCAACCGCAACAGCAGAATTGCCAACTGGATGCACAGCAGGGGGTGCATCAGGATGCAACAGCAACAGCAACAGCAGCAGCAGCAGCTGTGGTGGGCCCCTTCTCCTCCCTCAGCCCTCTAACCAATAGCTCGCTCACTGACACGGGACCAGCGGGTGGTGCTACCACGGTGGCCGCACAAGCACTCATGGTTGGAGACTTCGAGGGGACGTCTCCTGGGAGCAGCACCAGCAGCAGCAACAACAGTACCAACACTGGATTTTGGCAGCAGCAGCAAATGCTGCTGCAGAATATGCAGCAGCAGTCGCAGCAGCAGGTTTTTTGCGAGCAACAGCATCTGCAGCTTCATTTACTCTGACGCAGTGGCCTGGTGGTTCTGTAGAGAGGAAACCTCCTTGCTGCGAACACAACAACTGCAACAGATCTTATTCTTATGGGCGATCTGCAGGTGCAGCAGCGGCTGCAGCTGAGCCCAAAACAACGGGAAAATCTTTGCAGCATCTTCTCCAAAGGAAGGCTTGCTGCTACACTGAATTCATCATTTGCTCCCGAAGACATCCTGAACTAGCTGCTGCTGTTGAACACGGTAGAAGCACCACCAGCGACCGCAGCATCAGCAGCAGCAGCAGCCGCAGCAGCAGCGGAGAGAAAGGCTTCTTAAAGGGTAGCTGGTTCTCTGGCGACTTGTACTTTACTGGACAGAAAGGACTTGGCGGCATTCTGACTCTGCTCTGTGGCAATGACAGAACATATTTTCTTGCGTCTTCTTAAACATGCACAAGCGGAAGGAGAAACCTAAACCCGCATTTTTCGGCTTCACCTCCTCGCAGCAGCGCCGTCAAGCAGGGAAACGAAACAGCTGCTACAGAACCTTCAGCAGCTGCTCTCGCAACTGCTGCAGAGTTGCGGCTGCTGCTCCCATCTCTCACACGGCCAGGGCTAAGCGCTTTGGGGGTGTATATAATGAATATACAGTTTGCACATATGTTGGGTTGTCGTGTGATCTTGATACCAAAAGACACCCATCTGGGGAGACAGACGTAGTGAAATTGCTGCGGGAAGCCCCATACGATGGCTGCCTCTTAGCACCCTTCCCTACGTAAAATGCAATATGCATACCTGCATCGAGGGATGCTTGTATGCTTTGCGTGTAGGGTGTATGCGGATATATGTACGACGTGCACAAAAGTAGAGGCGTTTGGTGAGCGGCGAATATGTGAAGATAAGCCAATTTGCTAATATGTATTATGTGTGTTTATATAAATTATATGAATATGAGTAGATATATGAACGTGTCTCCATGAGTGTATGCAAGGCCTAGGGTGTGTGCTGGGTAGCCTTCAGCGGGCATGAAGATGTGTGTAGGCCTGTGTGTTGTTTTTGCACATAATCTTGCGGCAAGTTTGCCTTTAGTTTGCTTTCAGTAATTCGAAGTGCTGCTTTGGTTAGTGCATGTTCCCCACAGCACAGAAGTGCACGCATTGTTGCATTTAAGGGTTCTTCTTACATCCGCCCCTTCGGCAGCAGCCGCGACGGCAGCAGTGACATCAGCTGCTGCAGCAGCTACAGCAGAAGCGGCACAAGTTCCTTAGGATTTCTCTTCTTCAGCTGCCACTGGGCACTGAGGTGGGTGGGTGCTGGCATCGTTCAACCTCACATTGGAAGGGATTGCATAGAGCTCACGCTTCGTGAGATGCTTTCCCATATGTATTTTTCGCATTAAACGAACAACACATGTCATTTTCATTAGCGCATATTCACATCGACGCGTATTGCCTCGACAATTGCAAGTGTAGGCCACGACGCGGGCACGAACACGTGCAGAGCAGACGGCTTTGCCGAGGCGGCAACCAGCTGGCGTGATGTTTCTGTCATTGCTGTTGCTGCTATTACATTACAACCGTAGCAGAGGGGGGAAGTGCAGCTGTGTTGCGTTAATTGTTCGTCTTGTTCGTTGCTCATTACTTTGGAACAGTGCAGTCTAGTGAAGCACGAACAGGCCCCCGCATGGCTACCTCTGAAGCATTGAACAATTCCTTAATACCAATACAGTAATATATGCAAGAAGACCAGGGTTTGTGAAAGTAGTCGAGATATCGCACAGGCGTGCTTCGGGCGGAAGAGGCTGGGGTTACGGTGTGCCGTGTCCGTTATTCAAATACTAGTGATAGAGCTCGGTAAGAGGCACTTACCCTTCTTTCTATTCAAGTGAATGAGATAAAACATCGTTTCCAAGGGCAATTTACCCTCGATTTTGAAGTTGTTTCATTGGTTTTGCTAGGTGTACGGACAGAGCTCCTGGATTGCATGCGATCGCCGCATCAGTCGATCTGCTGTCCGCGGGGAAAGTGCCACAAGCGTCGCTGTATAGGGCCTTAAGTTTACGAGTGAAGGCTCCTACATGAAAATAGAAGTATACAGTTGCCTGGGGAAGCCATCTTGTCTCTTAATCGACCCGCTTTCCTACTAGGATGTGAACTCGTTCAACGTGAAACTCACTATGAAAGAAGAAGGGCTGCTGCAGCCTCGCAGCTCTTTGGATTCATCAGGCAGCGTTTATACAGACTCCAGCAGAGGCCAGATTCATGCAGAAACCCGATCGAACGTGCAGAACGTTTCAGCGGGGGGCGGCAGCACTGCCGAGGTAAATGGTGAAAGAGGAAGCTCCTCGGAAATAGATAGCAACAAGTCACATGCGCTTAGCGCTCGATATGTCTCATACTTGGGCTGCATCAAAGACAACTGGTCCTCCTGCCACGCAGCGAAACTGCTTGATGAGAATCTCATCGCCTATCTCCGCCCCCGATTCGTGCTGCTCTCGACCCCTCTGAAAGTTCGTGTACTGACCTCGTTTCTTTATATCAAACCCGACCTCGTAAGCAACAAATATACCAAGAAGGTGGCGTTCTTTTGCACTTGCTCTTTCCTTGATCCTACGGACTTCAGAGTTTATGTGCCCAATTATGTTACATTTTCCGTGTTCGTGGACGTCTCCCAGTTTGTCTGTGCCTCCAACGATTGTAGCGCTTTCTGCGGATAAAAATTGGTTGTTTCGGTGTATTCAACATTTGCATAGGATGGTTGTTAGCATGCAGTAGCCGTAGTGCGTGAATAGCCACTGTCTGATTTGCTCTGTTCTCCCTTCAGCGAGAAAGGTGCAGCGATACTCTCAGCGAAATAACGAAGGAAGGAGAAACGGACCCCAACGAATGGGTCAAGAAACTCAGCCGCATCCTGGTTCGTGCAGACGGCGTTTAGCCACGTCGAGAGGAAAGAGCGCCATATGCTACGCTGCAGCAGCTGATGCTGCTACTGCTGTCGTTACTTATGCTGTTGATGCTGCCACTGTTATGGCTGTCGCTGCTGTTGTGGCTTCTGCTCCTTATCCGTGTTCGTTGAACACGACAACATATAGCTTCTCATGCTGGGGCTACAAATTCTTCTGATACCGCGGGTGCCTCTGCGGTTGCTGTCGTCGGTGCTGATGTTGCTGCTTTTGCTGGTGCTGCTGTTGCCTTTTGTGTCAAGATTCCGTACATCACAAGCGGCAGGATCGACTTGCGGGAGACAGACACTGAGACGGCTTTTAGGATTATTAATTTTCTGGATGAGCAAAAAGGTACTGCAACATTGCTTAGACGCTGATCATTAAGTAACCCTCACCTGCCGCTATTTGGTGCATTACTGTCGCCGTTCTTTGTGTTTCTGTAAAGAAAAAATTCTATTGTACTCCTCCTTTGCTTCTTTCCCCCGAAGGTGTGTTTTGTTGAGACTCTACGGAACAACCCTTCAACTGATGGGACGTGGGCAATACTAATAAGTGAGTAGGCAGTCAACAAAATTGAATATTTTTGGTTTTTGAGTTTTGATAATTCTGTGCATGCAAACGCAGCGCTGAACCCCCAGCAGGGACCGTACCGGCAGAAAGCAGGCCTGGAGGAGCAGCACATGTGTGAACCGCATACAGAAATTGAGACTGCTGCGGCTGTTGCAGCGGCAGCTAGCAGCGAGGATCCTCTGTTGCATTTGCTGCAGCTACCACAGAAAGGAGTGCTGGAAATGACTCTGTTCAACGCCCGGGACAGTTTCGACAACGTGCTTAAAGGCGTACGTTCGTGTACCTCCAGACTATGTATAGGCAGCATTCTCTGCTCTCAACTTCATGCTCTGTTTCTCAAGTTTCTTACCTCTAGTTCCACGTGCGTCTTTTGATCCATCTGATGTTTACCTCCTCTTGATTCGTCGCAGATCGTCCACCGGGGGACCCAGGAACTGCGCAGGGCACAGCGAGCTGTGCAACAACGAGAGCGGAGTCAGAACGAAAGTAGGAAGGATACTTCAGTGTAATGTCGTGATGCTTTGAAAGGCATTCGAGTGCCTCTCCCTGTTGTAAGCACCAGCACTGACACAGCAAAAGCCGTGCATACACGCTGGTTAGATGCATCTTTTGACACCAACTTCGGCTCTGCGAGGCAGAAACAGCCTCGAGCCTCAGGGCCAGAAATTGTAGAATGCCGCAGAGGCTAACAAAACTTTCTACATCCAGTTGGCCCCTCTGTGGTCCATTTAAGCCAACTACCAGCACACATAGACGCTGCGAAGGAGCGCACCCTTTCCTTTACTTGCTGGACGCCTCAGCACATACTGGGGCGGATAGGCACACCACACAATCTGAGTCAGATGTTCTGCTGTCTCACTAACAAACCCATCCTACTGTACCTACTAGTATCAATGCTATCAATGCGTCAATGCTATCAATGCGCCAACGCATAATATCTGTATTCTGCGTTCATGCTACAAAAAGCCTTCAGCGGCCTCTGAGTCAGTACACTTTGCCCCATTGCATCCTCCAACGAACGGGGAAAATAAAAAAAAAATCACGCTCAGAACGTCAGCCTCTGGAACTGCAGCCATCCCTATATACCATCCTCCGCAACCCCACCCCTCCCAAAAAAAAAAAAACCAGCTGCTAGCTCTCTCTAGATGACTCATTATATTCTCAAGGCGACTGCGGTGTACACACACCGATCCTCGCCGAACGAAGTACACAGCGAGATCTGCTACATCCCAATAGCAGTATCCCCTACACTTCTACTAAACTTCATCCGACACCAGATTGTGGCAGACATGCACGGCTGCTGCCAATAGAGTTTAAGCCCTCCTGGCAGCTGTCTGCAAACTCTTTAGCCACCACCCTCTCTCGGGAGGCACTTTTCTGATGTATTAACCTTCACATAAGCCCACGCGTACACGAATGTATACGAATGCACATATTAGTCCATTCGTATACTTACACGTTTACTCAAACTCATCTACATACCCATATACACAAGAACATATAGTGTATAGGCAAAATACTACATACATAAGACGGCGCCTAATGGCCCACAAAAACAGGAGGTCGCGAATAATACTGAAGGCCCCTGAAAATCAAAGTCTTGCTCAGCCCGTCGTCGTCCCACCTCAGGTGTGAGACAGATGCGCTGCCTCCATATTAGCTCTTCATTTGATATGTTCTCCCCTCATTCAACCCCTACAATCCACCTGCCTCACTCGGCTCGCACCTCACCGTACAAAATATATCAAAACTCTGCGCAAGGCCTTAAGACAAAACAAAGGTGCCAAGGCGCGCAATGGCCAACCTGAGGGCGCAGAACTGCCGGGTAAATCTTGAATTATTAAACTGGCAGAATGAAGCGAGGTCATGCGCTCGTACCGGATTGGCAGTGGAAGGCTACGCAACGCCACCCCTTGCTGCTCCTATGTAAACCTCGGTGCTCCACAAGGAGAAAAATCGAAAAATGGTTACAAGAGCTGCAAATTTAGGAGCTGCATACGCCACAGATAAAACATACACAATAGGTTTTACATATTTTTTATATATGCATATATACATAGTATGTACGCACATATGCATGCATGTACTGCATGCGTCTATAGGAAGAGCCTGAGTCGAAATTCAAAACATAATTTCGATATTTTAGATTCGTCGCACTGCGTCGCTGCAGCATCTCCTATGGATCCCGAATAAAACACGCGGGCTGCAGGTATGCTTCAGCAGGTCACCGCTGCTAACAGCCTACTGCACCTTTTGTACCCTTCACCAAGCTGCTGCTGACCAGCTGTTGTCTGCTTCCTCTGCGCCGCTGCCTCCTAGGGCAGTCGTTCGCGAAGACAACGAAAAAAGGTCATTTTCCTTGCATTGCCACAGCTCCATGTTGCTGTCCTCCAGCTCGTCGGAATCGCGCCGGCTCGTTGAGAGGCGGCAGTGTGCTGCCTCTGCAAACCCTCCTTCCCTCCCGGCGTGCATCTCCTCAAGGCCTGGAGGCGCAGACAGCCCTACCGATGGTCCCCCAGACAGGGAGGTCTGTAGCTGCACAGAAGAGTACGACTTCATGTACGCCCCCAAGGCCTGCTGTATGTCGGCTAGGGCCTCCGTCTTAAACGCTGGCTCTGTGCTGCGCCTCGGACTTTGAAAAAAATTGCGTTCGGACTGCATCACCGCCTCCGCTCCTGCCAGTTCCGAGCTGTCGAATGAGAATGGATTCTCTGTACACCGCGACAAGCAGGGGCCAGAACCCTGCTCTCCACCTTGCTGCATGGGGCCACATCCCCTACCCCTCCCCACCAACACTCCTATTGCTGGTGCTGGGGCCAGTTTCCCTTCTGGTAGCGCCGCTGCTGCTGCCCCTGAGGCTGTTGGTGCTGTGGTGGAGGAGGGTGCGCAAAGGTTATGCTCAGGAGATAGATTCCATAGGGATGCAGAGCAGAGGCCGTTGCTACTGCTAGCAGGCGAGCAGCGTGGCGACTCAGATGCAGACGACTGCAAAATATCGGTCGACAGGTCGGAACTAGTTGAGCCCTGGGTATCCCAGCGTTTTAAGGTGTTCACCTCTGCTAACAGTGAATCTAAAGAAGAGGCCGCTATGCTTGATCGCGCTTCGGAAAGTATACCGCCGCATATGACCTGTCGCAAGCGATCCAGGGTGGCCTCTGTGGGCTCCTTCACCCTCTCCCCGCCATCCCCGAGGGGCTCCCCATCGCCTCCTGTGGCGCTCCCCGCTGGTGCTCCTGTTGCAACTGCGCCTGTTGCGGCTACGCTACTTGCTGCCGCTCCTGCCGCTGCCGCTCCACCTGCCGTCGCGCCAGTTGTTGTAGCACAAGTTGCTGTTGCGCCAGTTGCTGTCGCGCCAGTTGCTGTCGCGCCAGCAGTTGCCGAGCCAGCTGCTACCGCTGCCGCCGCTGCTGCCGCTGCTGCCGCTGCTGCCGCTCGGTCCTTACGCTGCGACCCGTTACGGCCCGACAGCCTACACTGCTGTTGCAGCTGCTTCTTCCTCTCCAAGTGCGGCGGCAGGCTGCAAAGAACAGCACTCCCGACGCCCACCCCACACTCACCCCCGTGCAAACAAACGGAAGGAGTGAAGAAGCCATGCAGGAGGACCAGAGGCAGCACACTAGTGAAGGCTAACATACAGTTCCGAATATTGTAGCACACAGTGCAACGCAGAGTAAGAATGACCACGAGTGTCACACTCATGCAAATCACATGGATTATATGGATGAAAGAACCGACGACCGTCGACTTGGCGTACGCAGCGAGATGCACGTGTACAAGGACATAAATGGCTTTCCTCAATGGAGGGAAGCCCGGTAACCACAAACACACGGCTCACGACAAACGCAAATAGGTGAGATAGACTACCTGAACCCCCAAACTGGCTTCCATACTACTACTACAACCTCACTACCTCACTACCTTACTTCTCAGGCCGTAGGTCTGCGTCTCCATGAGCGTGTCTGCACAACTCTCCGCTGTAGCAGCACCCCTGTCTCCAGTACTTGCAAATGGTGGTCTTGAAGACGCCCACAGTCGACTGGAGCTCGTGCTCGCCGTGTGCGAAGTTGCAATCCTCGTTCTCGCACTTCCCCTTGAGCCAATACTTGCACAGAGACGTCTTCCTCAGCTCCAGCTTCTTCTGCAACTCCCCCATAGTATGCGCGTAGTTGCAGCTCTCCCGGTTGGGGCAGGCACCCAGTCGCAAGAAACTCAGACACATCAAATTCCTTAAAGAAAACGAAGCATACATAAGCAGTGAGAAGAAGAAGTTACCTAGCTGACTATGCGGCTAGAAATTTGCTACAATGCTCAGCAGACAAAGCCACATACGCAGTCCAGCACTGCAAGGGGGCAAAGCTATCTCTGAACGCAAGAAGGTCCTGTGGTCCGTCTCAATGTTGCACTCACTACTCCCATACTCTACGTACATTTAGGACGCCTTAGGTGACAAGCAATACATGCGAACATTACGTAAAAAAACGTGGGCTACAACCACACGTAGCGGGGATACGTATGCCATAAACTGCATCAGTAGGTAATATCCACACCTTTATTATAAATGCACACCGTAATCGCCACGAATGCATGTATACATGCACACATTCATGCCAACCAAGCAAATACGCACGCATACTTGAAATATAGTACAGCCAACGAATACTGGGCAAAATGGAAATGTGTGTCCTGCATTTCCATTTTGCCCAGCATTCGTTGGCTGTCCTGTATTTCGAGATGCAGGACATGGCAAAAGTACGGACACACGGAAGGGTAACGACGTCCGAAAAACGACCCGTAAAAAGGACCCGTGAAAGCGAGTCAGCGGTTTGTGGAGACAGCTAGGGAGGTATTCAACAACGTAGAAACAAACTAAGGGGACACACGGCGCTGCGCCACTAGGTGGCAAGGTAGATGAGAGCAGCAAATTCGTGTGATTGCGCATGTGCAATGTAATACACACTATAAAGAACGCACGGTATGTGCAGGGCTCTCATGCACTCGTCGTACGTAACGCTGCATCGACAAGCACCACGTATCTGCAATTTGCACGCGTGAACGTATGCAGCGTACGTCCATGTAAACATAGACACACAATAATATGTAGGTGTCGATTACTACACGTGGTGGTGTGTATCACATGGGGATTGTAAATACGTGTGTCCAAGCATCACCCCCACAGGCTATGCATACGCAAGGAAACTGGGGTCTACGGTTTGCGCGTGTGGACGAACCTTTTAGGGAAGACAGGTTTACGCTGCAATCCCCCCTGAGCCTGTAGGTGGAGCATCGTGACCAGAGCCGTCTGCAGGGCCAAGTGGCTTTCGGCTTCCCCATTTGTTACTGTCTGCCCTCTGTTTCCCGTCCCGTTCTTCTCCCCCTGACGCCCTCGGCCCGATGAATGCTTCGAAGAACCCAACCCGTCTGCATGCGCACGTCTCCCCATCCCGTGCTGCTGGCCCGAATTACTCCTGGAAAGGACAGCTGCAGCTAGGGGCTGCTGCTGATTCTGCACTCCCTCCTTGTGGCAATGCTGGCCTTGCTGGTCTGCTGTCTGCTGCAGCAGCTGCTCGAGAAGCACCTCCTGCTGCTGTCGCTGCACCTGCTGCTGCACCTGCTGTTGCACCTGCTGCTGCACCTGCGGCTGCACTCCTGCAGGTCGAGAGAGCAGTAGCTCCTCTACGTCCGGTAGTCGGAGCGAGCGTGGAGCTTCCACTGCCAGTCCTTGCTCCCCCCCGCTGCAAACAAGAGGGCCTCCCTCTGTTCTTGTTGCTGCTACAGCAGCAGCAGCAGCTGCTGCTGCTGCTGCTGCTGCTACTTGTTCCGTCGCTGTCTGGACGCCTCCCCCTAAGAGGCGCTGCTCATTGGCCTCCTCCCCGACCCCGCAGGACACCATTGCTGCGGCGGCAGCAGCAAGTGTGCTGCTTGTGGTTGTGCCGCTGCTGCTGCTGCGGCTGGTGCCGTTAGCCTCTCCCGCTGTGCATTCACCCCAGGCTGCTGTGTGCAAGCCTCCGTCTGTGGGAGCTAACTCCCCATCCGAGGGAATTAGGAAGACGTGCTTAAAACTCTCCATCTCGCTGGCAAAGTTGTAAAGTTGACTCGAGAGTGCACACACGTGCCTCTGGGAGAGCCTTGCTGCTGAACCCAGCAACAGGCACAAAATCAAAACCGGCACCGATCAAGGGTGCCACCAGTCCTAGGGACACTAGCTGCAAAAACTTCCGGAAGACTCGCCAGAGAGACGATAAAGCATAGATAATGCAGCAGAAGAAACCGGACTTTCCCTGTGTCGCTGCTGCTGTCAAAGCGCTCGCCAACAATGAGACAAAGACTGCCTAGCGCTAAAAAACTTCGTCCCCAAAATCTGTCCCCTCACCTCCCGCGCCGCTGGTGCTGCTGCTGACACGGCTGCTACAACTGCTGTTTCTAGTGTTGCTGTTCTGCTCTTCCAAGTAGGAATGCTGCTGTGACCCAGAAAGGCAGCGCAGTACGTTGTGCCTGCTAGTTGACAGTGTGCTTGTCCCTCCTAATAAAAACCTATGAACTGCTGCTTCTGCAATAAAAGCCAACTGCGGGCAGTAAGAGCCGCTAACCTGCAGAAACAGCCCCTACTGACTGCTTCCTTGGAAGAGAGGTGACACGGAGAGACCGGGAGAATGAATAGAAGATGATGGAGGAGGCAAGGTATGAGTTGTGCTGCCCGCTGGTGCGCTGGGATCTGCGGAAACACCCGTGAGGGCGGTGTGGAGCTCAGACGTCTCTACACAAAGTCAATGCGCTGCTGCTGCTGCTGCTGCTTCTGCTGCCGGTGAGGACAGCTGATGTCGTCGCTGCTGCTGCTGCTGCTTATGTGTCAGTGGGCAGGTGGACACGAGACAGACCCAAAGGTACCTTCCCTTCAGCTGCCGCCACAAGCCCCCTTCCTTATTATAAAAACCACTTCTGCAGAATGTGGTAGAGGTGTTTTCCGGGCTGGAGACGCCACTCGATTGTTGGCCGTTCATACGACAGCGGTCAGGATCTCGAGTCCTTTCCCCCCGCGACTGCGTACTAGAGCCTTAAAAAACGAGACACTGAAAACAAAAAAAGACATCATGATTTCCTGTCCCTTGCCGATTGCAGGGAGACAGGGGACCCCAAAAACATAACAGGCAACCTGAGGTAAGAAGGTGCGATAGAGGAGGCGGGGAGGGAGAGGCACGCCCGCCCTGCGTCAATCGAGGGGATGACACAGGGGTGTAGGCGGGGGAGAGGAGGCTGCGCTGGGACCCAAAAATGAGGCAATTTGAGGGGAGAAAGTGTTTCACTTCCGACGCTGCAGTATTGTAGGAACAGAAAAAGTCAGATAACCGACAAGCAGAAACTCCCGTCCACAGAAGCAGACAGGAGGAGTGTGTCTGCTCATCGGAGCTACGGATACGCGGGGTAAATGCTGCCTCACGTGTAGCCCGTTGTTGTTAAGCAAAGCGAAAGTTGTTCTTATGGTCAGAAAAGTAAAACCAAGTACTTGGCAAAACAACAAAAGACTGACGTTGATCGGCGCTTCCAGGATGCACTGCGGCCTAGGACCACTGGAGGCTCCTCCCCTTGCTTCGATGCCTCGAGAGACGGGGAGCTGCGCGTGGGGGATGTAGTGTCTGAGTGTGCCAGGCCTTTGCAAGAGCACTAGAGCGGCTACACCTTGTTTTTATGCAAATTTAAATATACATTTAATATTTTGGGGAAGAAACAAGCAGGGAAGTGCCGGTCCACCCCCTCTCCCCATGGTGACCAGGCAAGGCCACCCCAGTTCCACCGGTTGCGCTGCTGCTTTCCCTCAAGACACAATGGAAAGAAAGGGTAAGTGGGCAAAAGTTAGATCTCTACACGGAATAATGCGAGGAAGTGCTCAATTCGCATCCATTCCCTTTCCCCGGGGGGCGCAAGGCTCCAACACAAAGGAGGAGGCAGCAACACGAGGAAGATGCCGGAGACACAATTGCAGCAATGAAGAGACAAGCAGTCGCGATGGCAAATTCAACTAATAAACACCTACAACACTGTTAACAACTGTAGGAGACCATTAAAGTCCGAAAATTAGACGGATGGACTCCACACACACACACACACAGGGTCGAAGATCCTACACACACGACTCTTTAAGAAAAAGCACACTTAACACTTAACCAAACGGTGAAGAAGACCGAGCATATCGATGCGCAACTGGCGCTAGGCTAACAGAAAGTGGTTGCCCCTGGTTAGCATGTGTATGTCCGTATTACTCGTTTCCCCCATCGTATAATGCCTGCTCTGTCTGTCTGTTGTCGTCGTCCCCAGCTTTGCAGTGCATACTGTCTCTATTCGTACACATGTCCACAGTGTATTCTACCTCCATCATTGCCCAGGCCTTTCTCTCCAGTATGTTCTTTCTCCCTCTTATCTGTATGGGTGCGTCTGCAGATAGTTCGCCTGGAAACTACCGCACCGTTGCTCTCCGCTTGTGTATCATCGGTCCGTAGTTCATCTTGCTTTCGTCTACTGTTGACCTTTAGGAGCAGGCGGGAAGCTACCCCGTAATATCAGTCCCCGAACCCCCGTAGTGCAGCATAAGTGCAAGGTAGCGGCACCGCTAGCCTTTGTTGCTTCTGAGGTAGAGTATGCTATCTGCTCCAGTTGAACATTGAGCCACAGGGAGTCCTAAACTTCAATAGGCAAACAGTGAACTCTGGCATTAAACACCACATTTCAAATTCCTAGACTCTAAACCAAGGCGGCCACCTCCCAAAACAGACCCGCAGAGCTCTGACCGTCTGGGAGCAGAGGGTGGAACAACTAAATCTACTCGGTAGAAGTTACTTTTCTGTTTGTACAACTCACATGGTGCAAGCCGGCGAACTACCTCTATTTACACGTAAACGGCAATTACATCAAAACGCCTCTGTATTCCTGTCCTACGTAGGTTTCTAGACACCTTTGTGTTCTCATTGGTGAAGGGGAAAAGCGGATATATTGAAGTAATCGGGTTGCGGCTCTGCCGAAAGACTGCTTCTGTGGCACGTCGCTGTGTAAACTAGACACTGCAACGGCGGCGACAAGCAAGGAACCTCAAGGAAAGAAATACTTTGAAGCCGTCACATGCCAACCAAAGATACACCACGAACACGTGACTCAAGGACGGAGGAAAGACGCAGAAGCGGACATGAGCAAAAAGCGAGACATACAAGGACATACACAGATAGCGAAAAGACGACAGACAAATGCCACTAACGAAGAACAGTAGAAAACGAGGTGAGACACATGAGAACAAGGCGCCTTGGTAGTCTGCTGAAGCTACTGTGGCCTCGCTGGTCAGCTCCGTCTACTTCGACGCCTTCGTTGAGCTCGCCCCCAGCCTTCTGTTCATGCGGTCTGACATTTTCTTGTTGCGTTGTTGCTATACACTATGTGATACTGCTTAAGCGACAGCAGATTGTGAGGTGCTGTTGTCCCCGAGTCCCGCTGTCACTACTACTACTACAGCAGTTGACACCTCAAAGCGCAGCCCGTACGTTAGTGCTGGCGCTGGGTGGCTGTTCAGTACGCCGCAGCCGGCGCAAGGTTGTTGTTGCTTTTGCTGTTGCTAGATGGGTGCGCCTCCTTTGGACGAACGTCCATCATCTCAGACAGCTGGAAAGGCCCCTCTAGCCGGGGGGCCATTCCCGACGGGCCTACGCACAGTCGCAATGCCTGCACTTCTTCCTTTGCCCTGTGAAAGACGCAGAAATACTTGTGGTGCGAAGACTCAAAAAGGCCAGCGTACTTCTGTCACGTACACAACCTGCCACAAACGCTACACTGGCATCCCTGCCAACCCTTCCCCCATCAGCAGCAGCAGCTCTTGCAGTGGACGCAGCAACAGCAGCAGAATAAGCAGAGTGTGCACATGTAGCAGCGACAGTGGCGGAGCCACTGCCGCTGCTACATGAGCACACGCAGTAGTGGTACTAACGGGAGGAAGGGGAACATGAGACGCTTCAGCAAAAGCAACATTAGTTGCTTTTGCTGATGCAAAAGCAACTAAGCTAGTAGCCAGATGTGCTAGCTCACATGGGTTTGAAGACTTGCGTATGCGTGCGCCAGCTGTCTGCTGGAGCATCTGCGGTGCAGTCTCCCCCTTGGCAGCACATGGGCACGTTCACGACCCCGTCGTTTGCGGAGCAGCAGCCTCGGTCGCACCACCGCGAAACCCAGTCGCGGAAGCGGCTGCCCTGTAGCGCCGGGAGGGGTGCCCGAGGTCCTAAGATGCCCCCAAATCCGCCGCTTGAAACTACTCCAGTGGAGGCAGCACGCACGTCAAGCACGCCTTTGGTCGACAAACACAAACAAGCACAAAATGCACGCCAAAGTGATAAATTCAACCTTCAAGGAAGCTGCACAAAGGGCTAACACTATTATTGTCGCCCGTTGTGCAGCTTCCTGTCTTTGTTTTAACGAAGACGCACAACAGGCAAAGCCACAAACTCTTCACTCAATACGCACAAAAAAGAACGATCAAAACGAGGTAGGGAGGGGGAAACAGAAAACATAATACTGCATTCTGGACGAGGAAAATGAAACACAAACAAATACAAATGGTAAGGATTACTCAGAAACATGAAAGCTGATGCAAAAACAGCAAACACTCGAAACGCCAGAAGGTCAAATAGCGGATAGGCACAGGGCCCGGGGATGTTGCAGTTTGCGCCGGAATTAGTCTCGTAACTCATAATACCACATTTTATTCATATGGTCACTGTTCGCTGATGAAGCATCGATTTATTTTGTGCCTTGAAGAGAATTGGTACGGCTCGTGTGTATTTCTCCTTATTTTCAATCTCAGTTGCTTGGTGCAGCTTCTTTGTGATTAAACCTGCCGTATACTTATGCTACCCACGCTTTAGGTATTGTTTCTGTCTCATAGGCCCAGTAACCCTTAGGCTGCAGATACAGTCTCCGTAAATGGAGTCATAGTGGAGACTGCCTTTGTGCCGTTCCTATCTGGTCTGCGTTTGGGCTATGTGCATGGCGCGCCGCACCTGAAATATTGATAGTCTTGTCGTGACCGTCTCTGCTCTCGTGGACATTGACCATTGGAATGACAAAGGGAGGGTAGGACACGTTGAAGACGTGAGTAGGACCTCCCACGGATCCCTTTAACTCAGCAAGCTGCTGCGCCTCGGTCTTAAAGGCGTCAAACGCAGTAGCCAATTGGTGCAGCTGTCGTTGCACCACCTCCAGCACAGTGGTGGCGGCCCCATCCCGCTTATCGGTCAAAACCAAGCTCCTCAACTCTTCTAATTCCGCCTAGACATGTAGCAGAAACAACATTACCAAGGTGAGCACGGGAACGTAGGAACACAGGAAGCACCAAAAGCTCACCGTCCAGACATACGCATAGAGGGGTTTTGCTGCAATCACCACCAGCCCCAAATACCCATCACAGGCGTTGCATACAGTTCCACGTCCACTGCCAACACCGATATAATAAAGCTAATTTCCGTAAAAATAGTCATTCCCTCTCCATGCGCCTCACCTTGAGTTGTTGGTTTTCCTTGCGCATGCGTTCATTTGCGGCTATGAGGAGTTTCTGTCTGTCAGCCGCTTCCTCGAACTGCTGCCGTTGCTCGCGAAGGGAGGAGAGGAGCTGCTGAAGTGGTTTGTGTGCCTCTTGGGCCATCTGCGAGGCCTCTGCTTCCCGCATCTCCACCTGTCGGTGGAAGCGCATCTCATCGCCCCCTATAACCTCTTCCTGCTGCTCCAACACCTCAAAAGAGGGCTGCGGGGCGGTTGCATGCCGCGCTCTCAGCCCTGAAACTTCCATTTGTAGCTCCTGGCAGCCCATCTCGGGCTGGTGCAGGTGCTCCTTTAACTGAGGCTCACGGCACTGGCTATCTTTCAGCAACATCTGCTGCAGCTGCTGCTGTGCCTCCTGAAGCGACTTGTGGGACTCCATGTAGCTCCGCTCCAGTAGCAGCTCAAGTTGTCTGTACCTGTCCTGAGCATCTCCCAAACTAGCGCGTAAGGCTTCATACTTGTGGTGCCACTGCTGCTGCTCCTCTTCCTGCGCAATGCGCGTCTGCTGTTGCAGCTGCAGTTGCCCCAGTAAGTTGGCGTTCTGCTCTCTCAGGCTGCTGACTGTCTCTTTTAGAGCCTCGTACTCGTGCCCCAGGACTGCCGTTTCATCCTGGGTGGTATTCGCTAAAGCTTGTGCTCTTTCTGCCTCAAGCTGTTCAATCTGCTGCTGCAGAACAGCCATGGCTGTCTGCTGCGCCTTCTCCAGCTGTTTCATGTCCTGTTCCTTCTCAGCTAGCTGCCGCTCCGTCTCCTCCTTGGCTGCTTGCACCGAAAGTTCCAGCTGCCCTATGTTCCCCCGCAGAGCCTCTCCCTCGGCTATATATGCTGCTTCCTTGCTGACATACCCGTCGATCTGCTGCAGGAGTTCCTGCACTTTTTCCTGCACCTGCTGCAGTTTGCGTTCTTGTGCCTGCAGCGCCACCTGGGTTTCTTCCCTTTGGCGGCTCATCCTGGATGCGGCCAACTTCAGCTCATCCTTCTGATTCACTGTCTCCTGCAGCTGCTTCCTCAGCTCACGCAGCGTGTCGTGGGCTGCGCGTAGTTCTTTTTGCACCTCCTCTTTGGCTTTGTCTGTCATTTCGACTTGTTGATATAGGTCCTCCCGCATCTCTCTAGCTTCCTTCTCCTGCTGCTTCAACTGCTGCTGAAGGCACAGCACCTGCTCTCGCAGCTGCTGCTGCAGCCCCTCAGCAGTCGCCTGGAACTCTCGTTGCTCCACCTCTATCGAGTCCTGCTGCTGTATACTGTCAGCTAGGGCTTCGGCATGGAGGCGCTCCTGTTCCAACTGCAAGTTGCAAAAGCCAACAACAGCAGGAAACAAAGTCTTTAAGAAGCTTGCCCATGCCGCACAGCGGCAGGCGCTGCACCCAGCAGCACCTACAGGGAAAGGAGCAGAAGCTGCGGCAAGTGCAGCAAAAGTGAGCTCCAGCTGGGGAAAACGCCCGCTCGCCCAGCAGCAGCAGTGAGAGCACTTCCGCTTCCCACGAAAGCAAAACGTGAACGCCCTGCCTCACCAAGTCCAAGAGCTCCTCTCGTCGCCTCTCGGCCTCCTGGCTGTCCACCCCACTTACATATCCGCTCCTCACCAACTCGGCAAGTTTGCTGCGGCGTGCAGCACAGTACGGCAAATTCTCTCGCATTAACACGCTGGATGTCACTGCATTGAGTACATAAAAATAGAACGCCCGTGCATTATAATGGCAAACCACGGACCCTCTAACCCGAAGACGGGTACCTCTCTTCATGCTGCACTACACGTCTTAGTATTACTGGGAACGACAATCCCTAATCGCTAGCACCTGGTGTGGGACATGCGCAGTCAGAGAGAATATCGACAGGTGGTTTGGGGTGCCCAATATGCGTTTCTGCCGTGACATGATGTTTGACGGAGCAGCAACACTGGTTGCTGGAGCAGCAACACTGGTTGCTGGAGCAACAACACTGGTTGCTGCAACGGCAGCTGCATTGAGCAGATACTGAAAACTTATCGGTGCTCTACCGGCTTACTTGCTCGCGGCTCCCAGGGCGCTTGCCACGTTATTTGTTGCAGCTAGCTTTCCCTCCAGCCTTTTCACGTGCGAAGACAAATCCTCAATCTGCTGCATATTCGCTTCCACGCTGCTCTGCATCTGCGCCAGTTGTGCCTCCAACTCTGCTCGCCGCTTCTGCACACCTCAAACCCTCGGCACCAGCTTTGCGCTCTCGTAAGTCGTGTGCGGTGCAAAGCTATGGTAAAACACAGCAAAGGCACCAACCTTTCACCAGAGAGGCAAACCACTTCTGCCCTGCTCTTAACAGGTTCAAAAGACAAGCGCTGCCGGAAGCAACTACGTATGTCCTCACTTTGTGGATATACAAGCATCAACTAAACGTCTTGGGTTCAACTGCGCCCGTGTGCATTCAGCGGTGACGTTACGCTATGGATAAAAGATCATTCATGCCTTCTCTAGTTCGAATGATTTACACGTCGATACGTACATACAAGCAAGCGCACGCCCACCTCTGCCTGGTCCAACAGCGAAGCCCTGTCTTGCAGCTCTCGAACAAGCTGTGCAACTCTCTCTCCCAGATCATTTACAACATCTGGTGAAGCCATCGCAGCCAACGCATCTGCGTGCCGTTCCTGTGCGTCAAAAGAAAACCAAGGCAACGACACGCAGGCGAGCGAGTAGGACGCAGCAGCAGCAAGGGTTGCTGGCGTGACGGGCCAACTCATATTAGCAGTCCGTATACACTTACGTTCGCCTTTTCTTCCTACCTGATTACTTACTTCGGTGTGTGTGTGTGTGTGTGTGTGTGTGTGTGTGTGTGTGTGTGTGTGTGTGTGTGTGTGTGTGTGTGTGTGTGTCTGTGCGTGTGTGCGTGTGTGCGTGTCTGTCTGTCTGTCTGCCTGTTTGTCTGTCTGTCTGTTTGTCTGTCTGTGTGCGTGTCTGTGTCTGTGTCTTTGTCTCTGTTTGTGTATGTTGATGTGTGGTTGTAATTGACAAATTGCTTGCATAACCAAGATGACCCCACCTGGGCTTCTCGCAGCATCTGTCTGGCCTCCGCCACTTCGGTATGAAGCCGTTCATTGTTTGCCTGCAGGTACTCGTTGTCTGCCGCTGTTAAATAGAGGGCCGCAGTTGAAGCGTTAAGGTCGCCTTTAGTTGCTGCCAAGGCCTCCGTTGTTCGCTGCAGGGCCGTCGTCTTCTGTTCTAGCTGCTCCCGGGCAGCAGCGAGCTCGCGCGCGCGCTCCTGTAGCAGTCCAGACTCAGTACCTCAGCACCAGTACCTCAGCAATAATACAGCAGCAAGCAGGATGGAGGCCGTGCGTGACCTACACTATAGGTTGCTGCCCCACATCCAGCACCACAGCTCAATTTGGAAGCTATGCTGTTGCCGAATCACTCCTGAGAAGTGTTTCATCAGTTCGCATAGAAACACAGGCAATACCCGACGCAACGATCCTCGTGTTCCTTCATACCTGTAGCTGTTGCTGTGCCGCTGCTTCTTTGTCTTCCAGTTCCATACGGATGTTTTCTAGCTCAGTCCTAAGCGATTCATTGGACTTCCGCAAAGTCTCGAGCTCTGCCAATGTGGTCCCCAGTTTCTCTTGCACCTCCACCAGCCTGAAAAGCACATGTCCAGCCTCAAATCTTGCAGTGCACACCATACGTAGCACCAACAGTAGAGCATACACACGTTGCTAACATCAGCAGCTGCTACTGTTAGTAGAAGCCCCGGATAACAGATGTTCCTTAAGGCTAGGCACTACAGAGTGGCTCAGCCGGTTACAGTAGTACGTTCTACAGGGCAGTCTGTTCTGATGATAGGTGTGGAGCAACTACTAAGTATCCGGTTGGTTGCTCAAGTTGGTCAGATTCATTGATCCAATTGGTAAAAAGAAATGCTAAGGGAAGACAGCTGCGAGGCTGGAAAGAAATACCTTCGCGTCACACTGGGTAGTTTAGTGAGTTGCAATTCCGTTGCCAGAGAAAGGCCAGGTTCTGAAGAGGGAAACTGGGGGGTAGCGAGCAGATGCTTCACGGAAGTCCTCCGGGGGCTGGATGCGGAACTGAACATGTGGCCAAAGGAACCGCGGGGAGTAGCTTGTCTACTGGCAACCTCTGCTCCACGCAGCGATTCCAAAGTTGCCGGAAAGGGCTGCGAAGTAAGTGTTGCATTCAATGACTCAAGAAGCTTCTCCTTCTTGCTCAGTGCACGCTTCAAAGACTTGATTTCCTCTTCCTTTTCCTTCAGCGTCACCAAGTCGTGTGCCAGCTCCGACAGCTTCTGTGAGTCCTGCGCGCTGACCTGCAGTGTCAACTTTTTAATCAACTCCTGCAATGAGGCGCACTCCCGACTCAGCGTGTGCTTCTCCTCCTCAAGCTTCGCAAGGTCCTTTTGGCTATCCTGCAGCAAGAATATAGATAAAAAGGTGAGGAGAAAGAAACAGACAATAAGAGGAGTGGCCATTTATCAGCTGAAACGCGTGGCACAAGCAAATAATGGCAATCAGTTGCAATTTCATTCAAGGGAGACAGGGAGCAGCTAGCATGGTGCTGCTGCTGGTGCTGCTATTCCAACTGTAGCTGTTGCAGCTTCGTCGGTAGCTGCCCCTGACTTTGTTGCTACTCCTGCCGTTGAAATCCTGTTCACCTGGTAGGCCTTAATGCGCGCCTCAAGCGTGCTCAGTTGCCGTGTGAGTTCGCGACCTTCGGTTTCCAAATATGATATGCGATCCGTCATCTCCTTCAGCTCTTGTACCTGCGAACGCAGTCCCAAAGCACTACACCTCTGAGGTGTACTATTCTCTGGAGACAGCCCCTTTACTGAGAAACCCCAGCATTCCGTGTGCATTATTTCCTCCACATTTATGCGTGTGATGCAACTTGTCAAAGGCAACGCATATGCACGCAACCACACACATAAGCACCCACACAACAACCAACCCATCCCTCTCCCCAACACCCCCGGGCACACACACACACACACACACACACACACACACACACACACACACATACATACATACAGAAGCACATGCACATGCACATGCCATATATATATATATATATATATATATA